GCCTTCCACCTAATAGCGATGGCCTAGTAGCAATGGCCTCCAAGACCGGATAGCTCCACGAATGGTTCTCCGAAATACAGTGTGGCACCTTGTTCATCTAGACTATATCACTATATATATATATATATATATGAGTCAGCGTCAAAAGTATTGTTTGGAGCTGTATTCATAGGTAAATTAGGGCGTCCCCTATCGTTTTTCAGGTTTTTGCACTTTGGCGACAACACAACTCAAATCAGATTGCTTTTCCAATGTGGCCACACGCAGGATCCTCAACCCTGAAGCCATTTTACACCATGCCAGAAGCGGAGCTGTTTGAACTGGAGCTATCTGTGCTAGAATACTGCTGGGTTCCTTCACCTGCAATCGTTTTCGTTCTTTATTTTTGTGTTTTGATCGCTCCACCTGACGAAGCCTCCTCTCAATCAAGTTCCGTGTGCCTGGCAGCAAAGAGAAGGGAATATCAGTAGCTCCTGGCAACTGCTCGCTCTGCGCACTTTGGCGCTTTGTGAGGCTTGTTTCGTCATGTCTCCCCGCGGAGCAACATCATGATCCCACAGAGATCTGCCAAGTTCGTTCCAGAAGCCGCGTCTATATTCGGCAGCTGTGTCACTGCTCGGACGCAGTTCTGTCTCACCTGTGATGTCTCTGCTGGCAACCATATTGGCAAAAATGTGATTGCAAATGCGGACTCCCACGCGTGAGCGTGCCTGCTTCACTGGCAATAAGTCCTTGTTACATGGAAGTTCTTGATGTTCAACGCAAACCGCTCTCCCGCAGGCTTTTTCTGAGCAGAGGAATCATCAATGACACACAGAAAAGGAGAGGTAGGATCTTGACGCCGCCGGTTGTCAGCACTGTCTTGAAGATACTTATGCAGGTCACTGATTTCGATCAAACCTTTTTGTTGTTGCTTCGCCTCCTTCACCATTCGCTCAAACAATGCAAAGAGGCGATCAGCTTTGCTTTTGAAATTCTTTTCACACCCCCAGTGGACCACCACTCTGCAACCGTGCTTGGCTGGCATCACGACGGTCGCGTGATGCAAAGCTTCATAGCTGCGAAAATGTGGACCTGCATCTGACAACAAATGAATAGTCTCAACAGACCCTGCGCCTCTTCGCTTTGTCAAAACAGTTTCTATACACTGGGATGCCCTGCAGGAGGAATGGTCAAGTATGCATGACATCACTAAGACGCGGGTCCAGAGTAGAGTTGAATCTGTTTCCGAAGCACTTTCTGACCAAATTCCAAGGCTTCCCGAACCAGCAAACGAAATGCTGCCATAGTGGCAGCATCCTTCCCCATGGCTGCCACAAAAAACAAGCCTAAGGCTGAGGGTTGTTATGATAACAGTGTTGTCTTCGGTACAAAGTGGGCATCCCTCCGTTTGATAGCTCAACATCACTTTCGGGGGTATCGTTCGGGTGTCGATGAGGTATCGACAAAACCCAGTACAATTCCGCACCTGTGACCGTGCCACATGGCTGACGGAAAGAAGCAACCTTGCGGTATACTGGCCTTCGTCAAGAGATGTTAACAAAACATGCGACCACCTTGCCGATTGTCTTGCAAGGAGGTCTCATACAAAACCTATTTGTCCAACTCACTGCCATCTCTCAAAGAAGCTGCAGGGGCCAAGAACTGAAATATCTTAGGAATCTCATTCACACAGGGGGCATCCTCATACTGCATCAACCACCGCCAAGCTTGAAGCTCGTCGCGATGGAAAGAGGTTTTCTTTTGACCCGAAGCTGGCTGCAGGCGAAAGGCCTGGAACTTGCCACTCCTGGTAACTGGAACTCAGTTAGCACTAGAATACAAACCTTTCTACAACAAAGCACATGGAGTGCCATTGCATGAAGTTGACTACCACACCCTCTCTCCTTGCATCAAAGCGAACTCTTTGGCGACTGCGTGCCATGCTTCAGCTGAGCGATTGCAACCCCACAGTGGTAGTGGCCAAAACGGCTTTCAAATCAACACAAGACATGAAGGCTCCCAAACAAGCCCAAGAACACACTTCCACCAGCAAACAATGATGTGACACACAAGCCTCTCATCCAATGATATGGTTTTGAGGGTATCGTTTTAGGGCGTCCCCTATCGTTTTTGGGGCGAGGCTACAAAAACCCAACGCCGATGAAACGCTCCATATAAAAAGCCTTGACGATAGTTTTGACATCAACTCATCATATATATATATATATAGCGGAAAACGATCCCCTCCAGGGGAACCAACGGGCGCCCTTTTCCGAGCATGAAAGGAGTCCCTGCGGTGTCACGTGTGGCTTCACAACTGACTACAATCTTTCTTTTGAAGATTCAGCTTGGGCGAACATCCTTCGAGGATTCATAGTCTTCCATCGACAGCTAAATCTTCTCTGCAGCCATCTCGGCTCATTTGCTTGTCTCTCACTCTTTGAAGCGGCGAGGTGCGCCGCAGCCAGGATAGCACATTCCGCTGCTCTCCTTCTCTTCTGAGGTCATCACGAGGTACTGCACCAAATCGCGTACCATGGGACTCAAATTGCGCCGGTGCTGCTGGCTGATCATCCACTTGCAGTATGACTGCTTCTCGGGCTCCGACGATTCGTTCAGCTCGGCATAGGACAATCCAGCTTTGGAATACTTGCCCACTTCAATCAACGTGCGACCCCACGTCATGGCATCTGGAACACCAGGAGGCAGCTCGACCGATGACTTCGAGGGCTTGCCAATCACCTTCTTCTTGTCGGGCTTCGCTGTTGGCATGCTCTTGGAATCGGGGATCTCTTCACCAGTGAGGCGGCGCTTGGATCCATCGGTCATGGCTCCGGGCACGGACTTAAATCCGGGCTCTGGCGAGACCATCTCAAACTCGAGCTGATCATCGCGCTCAAGTTCATGGAGCAGCTGGCCAACCAAGCCTTCCTTCTTGACTTGTGCAAGGAGGCTCTGAAGAGCGGGAGACAAACCTGAGCAACTACCGGACATGGATCCGGGAGGAAACTGCACAACACCTGAGGTGTTCTTGCTTCGAAAACTGCAAAAACGGCTCACACGGACATTTGCATGAATATGCATGACACCACAAGCTCTTATTCTTTATGTAAAAGCATATGCACGAACAAAGGCAATAGTCGAAAGCCTTTCACAGAAGAAATACCTCTTCTTCTGTATGTGAATCTTTCACCCTCAAAGACACTGAACACACAGTGCACTGCCCTGAGATCCACATCGCACTATTTACCTATTCCCCTTTGCTTTCACCCTCTTCGAACGGCGTCGAGGGAGTTGGATATTCAGGCATGACTTTGGCTTGCTTACGCAGTTCTTTTTCCATGGCCTTATATTCAAGAACAGTCTCCTCAGGAGATATTTGGTATGAGGATTTACGAATACAAGCTCTCAACAAGTCCACTGGGTCTCCTTCGTTCTTGGTCAAACCGTCGGCTAACATTCGATTGGTGGGGACCCATCGGAGGAATGCTCCCATGCCTTTACCACTCTCCTTAATGATTATGATATCAATGCTGGTCCGGCGATCGCTTACCGCACTCGGAGCGGATGGTGAGTGAACATGATCATACAAGCTCTTGCAATCGGTGACGATGATCGGCTGACGTCTTTTCAACACTTCACGGCATGTTCGAATCTGCAGCGGGCCATCAAAAATCTCAGACAACATGAGTAAGATCCACTCGACAGTTCCGGTGGCTGTCGACAGGGCCTGACTCTCGGCAGACAACGTGCTGCTGACAGCACGTGGCAACTTGTAGCTTCTCCAGGAAGCTGGGCACCAACTAGCTTCGAAACCATCTTGTAAAGTCTTTTCGGTGAATCCTATAATGTATCCAGCTTGTGTGTGATTACCACGATTCGCGAATGCAGCATCGCTGTGACACACCACTGTGAGGTCCTGGGGCTGGATGGATTGAAACGTGATACCCAACTTGCTGTGCTGTTTAGCGCGTCGGATGGCTTGGTTTGCCGTCCGGAGATCTTCGATCCGGGGATTCGGGAACGCCTGTTGCGACAGGCTCGCCTGCACGCTCAGGTCCGGGCGAGACTGAGACGATAGCCAGTTTAAGCTGCCATTCACAGCTCTCAACATCTTCACTTGGCTAGGTGACAGGGTTTGATCAGAGGCACTCTGTTTGGGAATGTTGATAGGTCGAATCTTTTCCGAAAAGGCTGACATACTCATACTGATTGACCAATCTTCACCCTGTTTATACCAAGCACCACAAAATTCCCCCTCTAGGGTTCGCCATTTGCGATATGGAAAGCGATTCCGGAGGTCTCGAATTGATTGCTCAAACACCGGTCCTGACCCCCCTACTGCCGTATCATCGACATGCACCCCCATCA